CGATACGGGATAAATTTCCCATTGAAGTTTTAATAAAAAAACAATGGATTTATTAAAAATAAAAAAATCTATTCACAAACACACGCGCATTCCGCCCACATAACCTCACGAATCGACCGTCGTCCGTCAAGGAGGTTGTTAAGTATGCGTCCATTGTTAATATTAAACTAAAGTAAACCGATCTTAATAATTATGGTTATCCGCGAGGCCCCGCGATGATGCCGCAATTAAATAAAACTGCAAAAAACAAAATTCAATGTCTTCACATTAAGATGACTGCACAGGATGTTTAAAAAAACATGGGCCATCACTACGACGTAAAAATAAGTTTTTTTTTTTATATCAACAAGGCTCCGATTTTGCTTGATTTTGTAGGTACAGGGAATATATTTCGGAAACGTGCGGTTAGTAGCCCTGACTTGAATCCTTTAGATTTTGATTTATGAAAACATTTAAATAAATTTGTTTGACACTGACACTGGTCAAGTTGTCAAAACTCTCCTTCTAGCTAGATATGTACAAGTTTAAATAACTTGTATTGGAATTACTACAGTCGTTTTGGATAAATTTCGAAAAAAAATTAAAAATAATTTTTTTTAGCACTCTGTAGCTACAAAAAAATGACCCATGACGTTATAAAAAAAGTCTTATTTTTGCGTGATGGCACATGTGTGTGAAGAAAAGCAGCCTCCGATAAAGAATAGATATTTTTATTTAAAGCATATTTCAGAAAGTTTTCACAGTAAACAAATCAAAATTAACTTTAAGTTTAAAACCCTTGTAGCATAAACAACAATTTATTCACAATTTTGTTATTAAAAAAACTTTATTAAATAAAAATAACAAAATATTAACCATTTGCTTTCCAGCTCGAATCAAGGCTTTGGTCTCGAAACTTACATTACTAGTGCTATGAAGAATATTCAGATGGTTTCTGCCATTTGCGAACAATAAGGGGACACTATTTAAACATTTGGAAACTAGTTGAACAGGATTATTTAAAATGGGAAACCATTTTTTGTTATTTAAACGATGTAGAATTATATTGTGTCGTACATCGTTGTATTCGTAATAAAAATTGATATATAATGACCATTTGAAAAAATGAAGTTGATAATGATGACCAGAAAAAAATAAAAACGAATTCGACAAATTACGGTTTTTGTCGCGTATCTTCGTGATGGGAAAGACTTAGTTTTCTCAAGAGCATGTTATTAACCTTTAAATTTCACAACTTTCTAATTTAACCATCTTGGTCGTATTTCTTATGGTTTCCAATATTCCCCTGATAGACATTCTTTTCTCTGTTCTATCTAAGAAATGATTCGCACTTTAACTAATTAATAAATTTGCAAAATGGTGCCTTCGTGAAAAAATAATCATAAGTACCTTAAAATCGATCTCAACAACAAAACAACCACATCCTTTCACTTTTGATTTGATTGGTTTGATTTATACCAACAACGTATATCGATTTTCTAGACTATAAACCGACCAAGTGCATCGCGAATATTTGGAAAAGGATACATACATAAATGAATCTTTATTTTAAAAACAACGCAATATCTATAAGAGTAAAACCATTCTGAACTTATAGTGAAATCCTTTTTATAAAACTTCTGGATTCCTTCTGCATCGATTTTTGCTGAGTCGAACTAGCTAACGTTTCGCCAATCATCCTCTTGACTTCTTCAGAGCTTGATTGAAACTGGCTCGCAGTTTACTCTGTACCTGCTTTTATATTGTGTGAGGGGGGCGGAGCTAAATGAGGGGCATCAACACCGTCTCGGATGATGATGAGCCAGTTTAGTCAAGCTCTGAAGAAGCCAACAAGATGATTGGCGAAACGTTAACTAGTTCGACTCAACAAACGCAACGCAGGAGTAGTAGCAGTAGCCTGTGGAAGTTTCTTTGAAAAATTAAGTGAAATCCTCTTTGAAATACTGTTTCTAAGTGATCTAAATTACTGCAAATTTGTCTATGGTCCCTGCTTCGATGTTTTGATGAAATATTATTGTATTGTATTCGATTTAATTATAACCTCAAAGAATCACATTTCGCAATTTACTTAAAGGTAGATGTCCCGCATATTTATCGAAAAAAGTGAGTTGTGGAAATTACATTCATTTTAATTGTAAATGAAATACCCAAAGTTAAGAAGACCATGACTAAAAGTTCATTCTCGTATAGATCCATTAGATTGCTTAATCAATAACCTCGGTTAGCCGAGCACATGATATCTCATTGTGCGTTTAAAAATACCTAGATAACCATGAATTTACTTTCATATAATATGGTTAATATTGTTGTTATTGTAAATTTGTTATACCGAATTAAGTTACATGCTCGACTAAGTTAATAGCACAGCTGACCTTCGCCGAATCCAAAATAAAGACGGTTTTATTTATTTATTTATTATTCTCTAAACTTTCTTATAATCATATAAGGCAACCCAAAACGTAAATATGGAAATGTGGATACTGTAATATTTTTTCAATATATAAACAATCCAGCTGGGAGAAGACCTCTAGGCAGACCTCGTTTAAGATGGCGAGATTAATATAATATCAGATCTCAGGACAATGGGATACACGTACCAACCCCAAATGACAGAAGACCGTCAGGAATGGCGGCGAATTGTAAACGCAGCCAAGACCCACCCAGGGTTGTAGTGCTACTGATGATGATATAGACTTTAAAAAAAGCAATATCATACCTAATATTGCCAACAAGTGACCTAATGTTGGCAGCTTTAAATTCAACCAGAATTTATACGCTTAATATCTTAAACCTCGAATATCTCAAAAAGTAAGTAAAATTGAAATGTAAGATAAATTACAAAATCACCTTTTTTTGTCCTAGAGTTGATATCTAAAAATATATGGTGTTCCATTTAAAAATCTTGAGATTTTGTTATTTAAATTCGTCAAAACGGCATTACCTATTTGGGACACCCTGTATAAGCCGACGCGCATTTGTCATACTGATTGAGCAGTGCATCTTCTCTTTAGTTTGTGTTTAAATTTTCGTTGCAATACCTGAATCAGTAGCGTCACAACAGATTTTTATATGGAGCTATCAAAATATTAAAAAAAAAAACATAACTTCAATTTCTTAAGAAAGTGACCTTTATTTTAACCAAGGATTCCAAAAATGTCGAAATATATAGGGTATTCCATTGAAAATATCAAAGTTGATGCGGGGACACTTCTGGGACACCTTGTATCAACAAAATTATAATATTTTAAATCTTCAGGAGAGTCCAAGAAACTTTTGTAAGAAACTTTTTTTCGTATCTCCTATCGGTTTCCAGATCGTTTAGTGGATCGTTTTATTTGGCACACGGCAAACCTGTAGACTGTCATATTCGAACATATTTTTGAAAGGTTGAGTTTTGGTGATGAAGAGCTTTGAAAACTTTAAGAATAGTAAATAATTGTCTTATTTTCAGAAAGCGCAGTTTTATTTACCCATTATCAGCAACAAATTCAAAAACACGCTCTCGGGACCTCGGACAATCATCATCATCATACAACGCCTATGAAATACAGCTAATTTTCCAATTCAATAATGATTTATAACTCTCCGGCATTAAGAAATAGAGCATAGTTTTTTTTTCTCATTTTCCCCTGCGTACCATAAGTAACATGCCCTAAACCTATCTCTTAACTTTCATGAGCAAAAAGGGAATTGAAATTTTATTTTTTATTGCATGGGGAGAACTCAAGAAGAAGTTTGTAATTTATTTAACGCAAAATACCAATAAAGACCCATTATAAGACCCGCAGCGAGTAAGATTAAGAGAAAATTCATTTAATATTTTTTTATTTTTTAGGTTTTGAAAATGCCCACCATTAACTCTTGACAGTAGTCGAATCGCTTGAAAAACTATTCCAAAACAACTTATCTCATTTTGTAGTGTTTCCTTGTGATTTTAAAGAAAATCCAATTCAAATCCAAAATGTGGCGGAGCATCATCCTGTTGCAACTAAATCTGTTCATCTAACATATCAGATTGCTTTGCATTTGGGAAAGAAAGGAAATATGTCATTTTCATTTTGATCAAAGAAATAAGGTCCAATAATTTTGTTATTCCAAATCCCTCCCCAAATATTTATTTTTTGTGGATATTGTGTATGATTTTCTACCTAAAATTTTGTCTGTCGATAGAAATCGATTTGAGTTGCACATTTCTATTATAGTTTCGCAAAACTGTAGTCTGCATCTGCCTTAAGTTCCAGTAGTAATGTAATCTTGCACGCATGAACTATTCTTTTTTTAATACAGGCAAAACTATTCGTTGGCTAACATCATGATTCGAATCTACTTCAGAAAATGCACGGAGGAGATTATCCTGAACTTCTAATAAAATGTTTAATCTTGTGGTCTCATTAGTTTTTGGACGACCTATCCTCACTGTGGATCTTGTAACGGCCATGTAAAAAAAAGTATCGTAATCTATGTTTTGACCCATCCTGTATAATATTTTCTATTTACTTCAAAAAATTCGCAAGAAAAAATTATGATTGACCGGTGTTCTCTTGAAATCCAATACCTGACTTACTGTATATAAATGTTCAGGTTATTACGTTGATAAGAAGTCATTTGGTCGATTGACGAATGAAAGAGGAGATGGATAATACACTGAGCACTAGTTTTGAACGTCAATAGTTGAATCAGTTAAAATTCGCAAATTAGAAGTTTTGCTTCCTCATCCGCCTTATTCGCCCGATTTAGCACTTAGCGACTAGACGCTCTGAAGAATTGACTTGGTGGACCAAGATTTGAGATCGGCGAGCATGTTATTATTCTTATTACGTTTTGGTTTATAAAAACTATACAACGGAACATGAAAAATGTATTAATCTTTCTGGGAGTCTATGTTGAAAACCAATGTAAAAACTTATCAGTTCACCTTCGTATATAATTATTTTTTATCCGCAAATAAGTAATATAAACTAAGGACGTCAATGGACTAAAGCACTGGTTGAACTACTTACCATCCCGTGACATAAGGAAACCGCTACGTCTGAACTGGGATCGTCTCTGATTTTTCCAGTGTAGAAGCACCCCGTTACTTTAGGATCATGCGGTACCCTCTCGACCAGATTCTCGTTATGGTGGGTCACGATCTGCAATCAAAAGTGTCAGGAGTCAGCCTGGAGCTGTTCGACCAAACCAACAATCAGAATAGGGAATTAACTTTAACGGATCTCAATTTAAAAATAAGGTAAAAGACAACCTAACGAGAAAAGCCTTCCACTTAGCATAACTCCACAATCAGTTGGTCAAAAAATAAAATTCAATAGTTGAATTGTTATCATTTGACTTGTCTTTTCAGGTTTTTAAGTATGGTCTGTTCATAGGTATAAGAAAGTGACCAATTGCTTTTGAATGGGATTATCCAAGGGTGGTCATTTCGGAATTTAAATTCAGGTAAAATTGTGGTCCGTAATAGAAAATAATTTTATACCTGTGTTTAATAGTCTTTGATTTGGTATACTACTAGTCTAGTCTAGTGTATCTCAGGAGATGCTCCCGTCCAAATATAGAAAACACTATTCTATTGAGACTAAGGAAGTTATAAACAATGTTTATTTGAGTCTCATTGAACGTGGTGCCAGCAAGCAAGCATCTTTAGAAGAAATGGCCACATTGACAAAAATTCCAACATCAACTGTATGGAAAATTGTGAATAATCCCATTTCAGCGAGGAAAAAAAGAAGCGAGTGTAGATGAAAGTAATCAATATATAATACAGCGTAAAATTTACCAGTTATACGAGGAACAAAGCGTGCTTACATTAGATATCTTAATTAGGAGGCTTGAAAAAGATGAAATCGGTGTTAAATGTGGCAGAACTACCTTATGGAAGTGTATTCAACGCATGGGTTTTAGATTTAAAAAAATTGACAAAAGGCAAGTTTTAATGGAATCTTTTAGAATTTTGAAATGGCGACTGAAATATCTAGAAAAAATGAGGATTTACAGAGAACAACAAAGGCCAATTATTTACTTGGATGAAACCTAGTTCGACACTTATGATACCCCGGAAAAGGGTTGGGTTGACTCAACTGATAAGTGTAAAACAAACAGAGGTAAAAGAATAACTATTTTGCATGCTAGCTCTAAGGATGGTCGGATTCCAAATGGACTTTCTCTGTCTGCGAAAAATATTAAAGATTCCTCTCTGGATTACCATGAAGACACCACCACTGATTTATTTGAAAGTTGGTTTAAAAACAAACTAGTTCCAAACATTCCTTCTAATAGCGTAATTTTAATGGACAATGCAAGTTATCACAGTAGACAGTTGACTAAAACCCCTTCCTCATTTATTTTCACGGAGATTATATCAAAAAGCAATTAATTGAGGTTCTACAAAGGTTGAACCTACAAAAGGAATACGTCTGTGGGCATACAGTTTTAAGGTTTCCACCTTACTGAACTGAAATCTGCCATTCGTCGTAACAATGTTTTTTCCCGTGTTAACTCCAATGTCCTCAAACTTATAGAAACCGAAATTTTTAACATCCCTCCACAAATTTGGGAAAATTCTATTAAACATATAGAAAAAGCAGAACAATCGCACATCCATATTGCAAATAATATAGAACAAATAATAATTAGAACAGGCGATGATAGCGATAGTGATACTGATATATTATGTGAATAATTTTAAGTAATTTAAGTAGGTAATAAAAATAATTTGTAATTTTATTTTAGATTTAAACATAAATATATACATAAATAAATAAATATTGTTTAGTATCTTTCCTAACAAAACCCCAAATAATTAAATTCTAAGCAAAGTACGGACTTGTTCGGCCATATTTCATTCTTATAGCTGTCTGGGTTTTTCCTTAATTCGTATCAGTTAGTCACTTTCCTATATCTATGAACAGACTTTACCACTTATGTCTGTGTATTATATATTTTTAAAAATTTCAATGGGTAGATGTTCGGTTAAAGTTATGCCATTGGATTAAACTTTAAAATAAAAAGACACAAGAAACAAAAGAAAAGAAAGGTAAACAGTTATTATTAATAATAAAATCAACTCACGTGTAGATTGGGGCCGACGAATCTGTCGTTAAATTCCAATTCGAGCAGGATCTTCTTACCGAAGGCATCTATTTCGTACTTAGGATGAGGGTCCCACACTTCGGCAGATTTGTGACGGAAATGGCCGCTGTGGTGGCGCACCGCGGGTTTATCTACAAGAAAAAGAGAAGTTATATTCTATTTCGCAAAGGTGTAGACCACTAAAACCTCGATGGGTATGCAAAGAGACTACACAGTTGGCACTACAAGTTTTTTTTTGTCAATTTATGAGTTTTGTACTTTTTATCTTGTATCATTTATTAAACATTATATAGAGTGTCCCTGATGTCCCTTAAAATTTGGAAAATAAAATTGAAATAAACCAGACAATGTAACTTCCATCTTGAATTTTAGAAACTGTTTTTTTAAAATTTTTTCTTATATTGACGATAATTACAGTGCCCACTGTTTTAAATCTAAGAAAAATTAAAATATTTTTTGTTAGATGTTTTGTATCATATCTCACTAAAAGGGGGGGGGGGTGCTCCAATAGTTCCGGAAATAAATGGATTAATGGATTTTAATAAACTTGCAGTAGTTAAAAAGCTTTTCTTAAGCTATCAAATGTGCTATGAGTGAGATGATTGTGATTGAGTACAAATTAAATGCAACGATACGATTTGTTTAGGTCGTTGGTTAGTCAACGATGAAATAACAAAAAAATCGGTTGAAAGGAAAATCTACGGTCTTTCAAAAATCAGAAGAGGTTGGATAGTGGGGATGAAGTTTTAAATATTGGTGCAAAAATAAACTTCAAAGCCAAGGGAAATATACAGCTTTCGGCCGGCTTATAGTTGAAAAACTTCAGGAACTGCTCTCAGATATTATTAATGAAGCAACATTTTAAGCACAGATTAAAAATTTGAACGGGACATCAAGAATTGTAACCGACAAGATTGAACCAGACAGCACAGTACTTTTAAGAATAATAATCAGGGGGTTGATGTTGTCAGATCGAAACTACAAGATACCTCAGTGGGATTGACTCCAATAATTCATAGAACTGATTTTTTTTCGTGTGATCTAATTCGACCATAGAAGTTGAAGTAGGATAGATAGGGCAAGCAAACAATGAACTCTCACAATTCCATGGGGGAATATTATTCACAGTATAACTTTGAAAATAATTAAATATTTATTAATATACCACTACATCTAAGTACTGTTTAAATACAATACTTCAAGTTCAAATATTGCTTGATGAGCGTAGAGTTGCACTCAGCCTCTCATATGCTGTTACAGCTTTTTTCATAACTATATCCATCCTTTCGATTTGAGGCGTTACGATCTGGAGCTATTCCAAGTTTCATACGTAAATAATGGAACCAATGCTCAGGTTCTAATCTAATCTAACCAAAACTAATCGAAGCTCATCTAGTAAACTGACGTCTGATAATTGTTGTCGCTTAAGTATCTATAATACTATAATACCTAGAGTAGCCATATTGATCTTTAGTAAGCCGACTAATTAGCAAGACAAGACTGAATAGTTAATGCTAAGTGAAGACTTCAGTTTTGCCGTACAATTGAAGTTTGTGCAAGTAAGTTGATGTGCATGACATAACGTCTATCCCGGCCTTTACGGCGCCTACAAAACTCCGGTTCGATTTCGCAACAAATTATCAAAATTCAAAAGCGAGCACGTTTTTACAATGTTGCTGCAAATATTCGACTTGGTTATATTTATCGGCCGTAAACGTGCGGGAACCGATTGATTTACGACCCCAGGGATCTAATTAACGAAAAGGCCAGCTGCGCGTCATAAAATCGGACCCGCGAGAAAATTCGACGTTTTCATTTCTTTTCGCGGGAAACTATTTTTTTTTCGCGTAAACCATTTTTTCACAGGTAAATGTGCGCGATGTGACGCAGGTGTCTGACTCATCCGCGGCCGTCTTCTCAAAATAGCCACAAACGCTCGGGGGTGAGGTGGGGCACGCTACTAGGTCGTCAGCACATTTTTATCGCAGTATGTAGGTCAATCACTAGAATAAAATTAATAAAAGTGGTCGCGAACTAGATCGCATTTCATTTATTCCATTTTCCATGTCAAAAACATGTACAAGATGGTCGCAATTGAAGTTGCTTTAACAGGAAAAACCTGAATCTGAACTAGATGGAGCAAAATCGAGATGTAAGGCGTTTATCAATTTTCGGCCCTTTTAAAAATTGCCCATAACTTTTTTATTTAAGAAAAATATGGATGAAGAAACAATGCACAGAAATTGAAGAATTACGGAATAATCATGATACACTCGGTTTGCACAGGAAAATAGAAATAACTGGTAACAACAAGAAAAAATACCCTGTGGAACGAGAGAAAATCAAAGGGAACTTACGTATTTATCCCGGAATGCACTTTCAGATCTATGAAAAATTTCAACAAACATTCAGCCAAACCAGAAAGAAGAGAACATTGGAAAGAGATGAAGATCGCGATTTAAGGGCTTTACTAAACGTTGAAGAAAATCTCAATATTTTCATACCAAAAATATCATAAAGCCTGAAAACAGCAAAATTATATATATATATATATATATATATATATATATATATATATATATATATATATATATATATATATATATATATATATATATATATATATATATATATATATATATTCTCACGTATTGATTCACGGATGGAAAAATGTGATAACACTATATTCCGGGATATCATCCGTTCGCTCGTTGAACTCCGACTGGAATCCTGCATCCGACTGGAATCCTGCAAATCTTGCATCCGACTGGAATCCTGCAGACGTTTCGCCAAAATCTCACTTGGCATCTTCAATGCTCGCGCTCCGAAAACACTTCGAACACTTCGAAAAAAAACCCCAGTGTTCGAAGTGTTTTCGGAGCGCGAGCATTGAAGATGCCAAGTGAGATTTTGGCGAAACGTCTGCAGGATTCCAGTCGGAGTTCAACAAGCGAACGGATGATATCCCGGAATATAGTGTCATTATATATATATATATATATATATATATATATATATATATATATATATATATATATATATATATATATATATATATATATATATATATATATATATATATATATATTTTCACGTATTGATTCACGGATGGAAAAATGTGATGACACTATATTCCGGGATATCATCCGTTCGCTTGTTGAACTTCGACTGGAATCCTGCAGACGTTTCGCCAAAATCTCACTTGGCATGTTCAATGCTCGCGCTCCGCGC